AGAGGCCTTTGCTCAGCAGTGGGCACTTATAAGCTGATGATGAATACTTAGAGTTTTTCTCATGTTAGGTAATTAATAAAAGTAGTTATTTTCAAGAAATCTATACATATGTAAGTATTTAGCTAATGAGATTGTCGACATGTGAAATGTAGACTCAGCAATCATTGTGCCGATAGTCGTGTCTGCCAATGGCCTTATGATTAAGCTTTTCGCTTCTACAAGTAGGTAGGTATGTGTCTTTGTATGAACTTCTTTTTAAGGGATAAGTCGGCTAACGAGCAGACGGATTACCTGATGGTAAGCAATCGGCACCGCCCATTGACACCCGCAATCTTTTGGGAATTAGGGATTGGAGATTTTGGGATTTGGGGATGGGAAGAAAGGAACCTCACTCACACGGCGAAACACAACGCTGTGGTTGTTTCACGTCGGTTTTCTGTGAGGCCGTGGTATCAATTCGGTCGAGCCGATCCAGTGATTAAGAGGGATTTGTGAAGCGAGTTTTATATTCATGTATGTTATTATTTTTATATTTATTTCTATTTAGTTTTTTTATTTAAACGCACTTATCTCCGGAACTGCTGGTTTAAATTCAATATTTCTTTTTCTGTGAAATAGTTTAACATCTCGCTACGAACAGAAGCCGAACAACCACTGAAACCACGCTAAAAAATCTAAGTATATGAGTAATAAATATCTATTGTAAAAACTCAGAATACCTACAGAACAAACCAGAAGCCGCGTTCACTCATAATTACATGTCGTCAAATGTGTCCAAAAACAATACGTCAATCCCCCCGCCAGCCGAACTTCCCACCCGCGTAGTGTTGCCGACAGTGGAACAATTCCCTTAGTTTGGGGTAATTTTACAACAGGAGGGTAAGATACGAGTAAACCCAACAAAATAGGTAAACTTACGATAAATGCAACAGACTAGTTGTTCACACATTTCATAGAGGTAGCATAAAAGTTGACGATTTCTGGATTTGTTAATTTTAGTTACACCTACTACACACAACAAATAAAATAAAGCTTCAATAAGTACAAGTAAGTAGTAGTATAGATATATCTTAGTAGGATATGCTGTTTTCAAACCACCTTTGTCATAAATATATCTCTTCAAAGTGAATTGAGCAAAGTATGCTCTGGCTAGATGGTTTCCAAAATTAATCTAACCGTGCCCTTTGTATGATTCGTATTTATTTTTTTGTCAGGGAAACTAATATGACGTAGGCTCCATAATGGACAAAAATATAACGCACAACAAATAAATAAGTGGGTAAAATTTTCACCACAAAAATGACAACACTCACAAAATGGCCGCATCATTTTCATAGAATAATAAATCGAGAAAAAAAATTCAATAATTAATTAAATATACTATTGCAGTCGATGCTTGCAGATAAAATGTAATCTTATCCACTTTTTTCGTAATTCCAGTCGCATTTTTACTCGGAGTAATAACACAAGACGGCATAATTAAATTAAAATTGATACTGGTAAATACGTCACGACATGCCACGTGCCAAAATTGACTAATCGTAGAAATTTCATACTATTCTAGTTGAGAATGGTTTTAGTTGCTTAAGTTTGAAGCGCGATGACGCCTTCTGGTTTGTTCTGTATTCTGAGTGTAAAAAATACAGAACACGCGATCACACATTCTTGCATCCATCAAGAAAAATGAAGGTAGCCATAATTATTTCGTACCGCACACTTTTCTAAGCGTGTAACCTTCAAAATGTCATCTCTCTCAAACAACGTCACATTTCTGAGAGCGGGAGGCTCTCTCTCACCCCTCTTGGGAAGGGAAGGGAAAGGGGAGGGGATAGCGTGATTAGTTCAATTTGTAACAAAATGGCGCCCGTTAACGATGTGCGCGTAATTATCCGTTGTTCTATCTCAGTGGTCCGTTTGTTATTAATGACGCTGTTAATAACTTTGTTACTTAGTTTTAAGAGCAGAGCGTAGGTATTGTTATTGGAACTTCGAAGTTCAGTAAAACATGGGTTTGGGACAGACTAGACTATTGTCAATTTTAAACTAAGCTGATGACCACAGTTAATTATACTTATGAGAAGAAAATTTTGTAAAAGAAATAAAGATTTTTGTATTTGTACCAGTGCCAGTATCGTCATTGATTACAATACTTTTTATTAGGTACACTAAACACCCACTTATCGTTTTATCCAATATAAAATCTACCCATATCCCACACTTCAATACTACTTAATGTTAATGCTACTTAATCAGTTAATGTTATGAATGAAGAAGGTCGTTTAGCTCGATGGAATGCACTCAAAAGTCAGAGCTTGAACATCCAGCGGATGTAGCGACACTGATTGTGGCGTTTTGTTTCGCCGTGTGAATAAAGTTACGGGAGGGCCAATCCTTCCCCTCCCCCAATTCCTAAAACTCCAAATCCCTAATCCCCATAAGGTCGGCAACGCACTCGTAACTCATCTGTTGCGGGTGTCCATGGCCGGCGCTGATTGCTTACCATTAGGTAATCTGTAAGGTCCTTGGCCGAACTATCACAGAAAAAAAAATTAAATCAATATTACACCCGTGAAAAGCCTGGTACGGATCGTTAATTACCTACCAACCTACCTATTAAAGAAAAATATGAATAAAAATGTCTTTGAAATAATCGCTACGTCCGCCACGCGTCGACGACATTCTGACGCCATGTTAGTGCTGTGACTTGACGTCAAGCTGTGTCGCACGCGCCGCTAACGAAGGTCACGTGACATTACAGCATTGTTTTCAACATATTTTTTTAATCATTAGTGTAGGAGTCAATGGTTTAGAAGAATTTGTTTATTTGGTTCATTTGATTTTGTTCTTTGATTTTTGTATGGCCCTCTGTTTTGTGGTTAGGTTAGATCGATAATTTTGGCCTTTCGTTGTGTGACCTACCTTATTGTTTTTTCTTGTTTTCATTGTTTTTATGACCATCCTTATTTTTTGTGAATAATTGAGACCGAACAGCAGCGTTTTCTGGCAAACGTTTAGGTTGGTACCTACTGCTGATAGCTTCAAAATGCATTTTTTTTGTAAGTATCTATTAATTCATAATACCTATTAGGCACTCAGTACTTAATGACTTGTTGAATGTCTGTTTATAAAACACACTAGAAAATACATTGTGTCTCGCGTAGATCCACGTTTAAGACATACGAAAGGTTAATTCATAATATTAGACACTCACTTAGGTACATATGTTTTTCTCAAGGAATATACTGCTTGGCGATATTTATTATTTTTTAGTGATCCACGGCCACAGCTGGCATGAAACGACCCCAGCGGTGTGTTTCGCATTCGTAACTCCTCTGGTGTTGCGGGTGTCTATGGCGTTCCTGATGGCTTACTATCAACTAAGTAATGCGTCTGCTCGTTACGAGTGCGTTGCCGACCTTTTGATCAGGATTAGGGATTGGGGAGGGGAAGTTTTTATATTTGAATAAATATTAGTGTTACACTGTTCTCACATAATTGAACCAACTGTTTGTAAAAGGAATCTGTATGTGAAATTGAATTAAAAAGAGTAACCATGGAGTTTCTTGCTCGTTCTTCTCCATCGGAATCTACACTTTGGAACGAGCAAATAGCTTGACTAAGAGGACTGACAGACAGACTGACACTATATCTTCAAAATTTTGTTTGACATTCAAAAGTGCCTGTAAAGGTCTAATTGGAATAAATAATTTTTGACTTTTTTTGAAGGAATGGGCCTCCGGTAACCTCACTCACACGGCAAAACACAACGCTGTGGTCGTTTCACGCCGGTTTTCTGTGAGGCCGTGGTCTCACTCCGGTCGAGCCGACTCATTCGTGCCGAAGCATGGCTCTCCCACTTTAAGATAAGGTATAAGTACCAAGAGCCTTCCCTATAAGAAATTTATTGAGGTAATGTAAGTAGGTAGGTACTCATACATAGGTTTATAATACCTACCTACCTACGATACCTAAGTATCTAAATAAAAAATTGTGTGTTTGTGAACCTAACAAACTTGTGGAATAATTATTATCACAAAATACCAGCACTTTTTAAAATTGCTTAGACTATGAATATAAGTAATTTGTTAAATTACAATAATCCGAAGTCAAAAGAATCCCTCTTATCGATATGGATTACCTAGTCGGTAAAAATACCTACTTATTGTTAAGAATAAAATATGACGAAGATTAGGTAGATATGAACTTCTCCTTTTTTGAAATCGTTTAAAAATAGAAATAAAAACTGAACGTACCTAGCCTCCGGCGAGAAGAAAGAGAAGGGTGATCCATCACAGCGGTAGCTCTGTGGGTGGAGGCGTCAAACTTTACTTATAATGTGGGAGCGAGCCTAACAAGGCGCCCCGCGGTGACATACGCTTGCCATTATTTCAAGCGTGTGATATGAATATCGAAATAAAACGCTCATTTGTTTGCTATTTACATGCGTTTTTTTTTAATCAGACATGAATTGTTCCACAAACTATGAGTACAGTCTATTTAAATGTAATTGATAGCTAATCTGAAAAATGTCTTTTCCAAATGGTTGGTTCCAAACATTTGCCATATAGCCAAGCTAACACAAACTTTTTCCAAATTACATTTATCGTCCTAATATTATTTTATCGCCATCCCGTATGGGATAGCCGAACTAACTGTTGACGATTAGCGTCATCTATTAGTAAGATCATGCATAAATTGTAGTACTACCATTGTATGATAGATGGCGCTGACAACATGATGTATACTAGTTAAGCTATTCGTTACTAGATGGCGGTATAATTTATTAAGTCTGATGAACCTCGAAAATACTCGAAATAGTAGAAATAACTTGTTGCAAAATACTCGAAATAGTAGAAATAACTTGTTGCAACATGTCGACTTATTACTATGAAATCTACACTGTTTTGTTTTTCTCATAATTTCGGTTATTTAACTTTAGTACGTATACTGAACACGCGTACGAATGCTACAAATATATTATCAATAAATAAAATAAAAAATACACTTAAAAATATAAAATTTAATATTAATATAGCCTAAAAATAAACAATAATCTTAGAAAGCTAATTTCTTCATTAACAAGTACATGTGTTGGTCTACTTCGAATCCGTGCAAGTTATTTGCGTCGCCCTGCAGCCGCATCAGAAGGCCCCCAAATGAGACATAGGCTGCTAGTCGGGACGCAGGCTCCATGGCTGCTTCATCACCTTCTATCCTGTTGGCAAAGGAAAAAACATATTAAATCTTTGTATTTAGTATACAGTACACTATTTGACCAGAGAAAATGACTGCCCAAAAAAAGGAGTGTTATGTTTTAAGGGTCCATATTATGTTCAGTACGGCCGACATATCATGACGAGTCTGAAGTTAGCCGTTTGTCTGCGCAATGGATCTTTTAGGAACAAAATTGTGTACTGCGCAGCTAATCGGCTAACTTCAGACTCGCTAAGTTACGTTGACGGTATTGTATGTACGTAATTTTTTTTTATTCCCCTGTATTTTCTAAACGCCTGGGCAGGATGAGAAATATGCTATTTTTTTTTAATCAGGGGACAGTTCTCTGTTACATTAACTTTAATCATAGGTCACCTGAATGCAATAAATATTGCTTATCCTTTCCTATTTTTTTTTTTTTGTTTTTAGCTTATTCTTGAACATGGCAGGCGTGTTTATTTAAAAGATTTTTTTATATGATATAATGGTAATATCACAACAGAATCCGCACCATGGACATCTGTAGCCACAGAGAAGTTACGAGTATGTTGCCGGCCTACTAGCAACTAGGGTTATGGAAATTTAGGGACTGGGGGTAAGGAAGAAAGTTTTTTTTTAGTTTTCTCTACTTACAAACCTTTTCTGGACTTCCACAAATAATTCAAGACCAAAATTAGCCAAATTGGTAAATGTATTGTTGAGTTATAACATTACAACAAAAATTGGCATTGATTATAATCATAGTTTTTAACTAGTTCATTAATTATAATCTACATTCCAGCTAAAAAAGGGTTAACTAAAGACAGTAATCATGGTATAAAACAATATTTACAAACTAAATAAAAATTGTTAAATTCAAGGATTAATTCTTGAATGCATGACATGTATATGCTGTCCTGAACTTAAATATAAATGTCATACAGATTTTGTTAAACATTATCAATACCATGTTTTTAGGAAATTAAGTTTATGATAAGGATTATAATATAATTTACTGTGCAATGAACATATCCTGTATATGTTACAGTTATTGGGAAGGGCAGCAAACAAGATAGGCTGGATAGGTTATACACAAATTGATGTGAACACTATGCTATATGCTTGGACTTGGACACCAAAATTAGGTACTCCGTGAAACTAAGACAGAGACAGTCTTTCTAACCAGTTGATCGACTAAAGCTTATAATATGCTTGGATAGTTTTTTAAAACTAACCTGTAAACTTTCCCGGACATCACATATTCAAAACTGTCGGCACGATTTCCCTCCGTTTCTAGAGGATTCCATTCGCCTCCATCAGGATAGCCGTTTTCTCTGAGCGTCGTAGCAAGTACTAATCTAAACTTGTCACCCAATTCCATTGGATAAATCCAGGAATTTATGTCTAAAATCAAGTCCATTTTGAAAGATTCTGATTCACAATGTAACCGGCTGCAACGATCGAATTTCTTTCCTTCCGGATCAATGTCTTTCACATTGAATATATCCTCAAATAATACTCCGGCCATTTCGTGTGATTTAATGTATTTATTACGAGAAAATTATAATTTTACAATAATAATAACACGCTTCGACTCACTCAGCTACAAAAATATGCCACACTTTGACGCTTTGTTGACATTAATTCTCTGAAAGTTGGTAGAATTGTCGTTCTTGTCTAAATCTTCTGTTCGGATACATAAAATATTATATATTGGAAACAAATGTAATTTAAAATAAAACTGGTTTCTCGATTTAATATATTTTATAAAATATTAATGAATAACTTGGTTATTCCAAGTTATATAAATGGATTATATAAATATTTAATTCAAATAAAAATATGTAGAAATATCGTAAATATTTTATTAATGAGGATATTACTAGACGAACTGAACTGTAACATTAACATTTGAATTTTTAAAATCTGTGAGTAAAGTAAATAATATCTCTATTTCTATTAAAATAAATCAATTTCATTAAAAATTAAATCGATTAACTATATTTTTTGTAGTTGTATCCGAAAATTATTATTGTTTTTATGTTGGCGGCACCATGTGGTAATTGCAACTCGTGCGACATCTGGCGAAACCACGTCCATAATAAACTCAAAACCTCGTCCGCCGAGCCTGCTTGTCTGAAACTAACCTATAATATAGTATTGCACGTGTCGGCCCATTGTTTGTGCATTTTAAAATAAAATTTACAAACAATAGTAACATTTTGTTCGCGGCGTTAACCCAAATACTGGGTTAAGCAAGCACAGTGAGTTATATATCAAGAAATAACGAAAAATCCTAAAATGACGGAGGTTTTACAACCCGGCGCAGAAGTGTTTTCGGAGAAGAAAAAGAAGAAAGCCAAGGATGGAGTATCATTGGGCACGTTTCAAAAGCTGGGAGACTTTAAAATCGAACCGACAGAGAGTGTAACTAAGTTAGATACAGCATATTGGCCATTGTTATTGAAGAACTTCGACCGTCTCAATGTGCGCACCAACCATTACACGCCGCTGCCATTCGGCCACTCGCCTCTGAAACGCCCGATTGCGGAATATGTGAAGGCTGGCTTCATTAATGTGGACAAACCGAGCAACCCAAGCTCCCACGAAGTCGTCTCATGGATTAAACGCATTTTAAAAGTAGAAAAGACGGGTCACTCCGGCACGCTAGATCCCAAAGTGACAGGTTGTTTGATCGTGTGCATTGACCGCGCTACGAGGCTCGTGAAGTCACAACAGAACGCCGGTAAGGAGTATGTGGCTGTCTTCAGTTTGCATTCGGCTGTTGAGAATGTGCAAAAAGTCACACAAGGTTTGGAGAAGCTGCGGGGCGCTTTGTTCCAGCGACCGCCTCTTATCTCTGCTGTCAAGCGTCAGCTCCGTGTCCGGTCAGTATACGACAGTAAATTGCTTGATTTTGACACTGAACGCAACATTGGTGTGTTCTGGGTGAGTTGCGAGGCTGGCTCCTACATCCGTACCATGTGTGTGCACTTGGGACTCATGTTGGGAGTTGGTGGACAGATGATTGAGCTCCGAAGAGTCCGCTCTGGTATCCAAGGAGAACAGGAAGGCATGGTGACTATGCATGATATCTTAGACGCTCAATGGGCATATGAAAACCACAAAGACGAATCATACCTACGTAGAGTAATTAAACCATTAGAAGGTTTATTAGTAGCTCACAAAAGAATATTCATCAAAGACAGTGCGGTCAACGCAGTCTGTTACGGAGCTAAGGTACTACTCCCTGGTATTCTAAGGTACGAAGATGGTATTGAAATTGATCAAGAAATAGTTATAGTAACAACAAAAGGTGAAGCTGTGGCATTGGCTATCGCTATGATGACCACATCAACAATGGCATCCTGTGACCATGGTGTAGCAGCTAAGCTGAAGAGGGTAATCATGGAGCGAGACACATACCCAAGGAAATGGGGCTTAGGACCGAAGGCTTCACACAAAAAACAGCTGATTTCGCAAGGAAAACTCGATAAATTTGGCAAGCCTAACGAGAATACGCCAGCGGAATGGTTAAATAGTTACGTAGATTATAAGGTGAAGAATGAGAATGGTGCTGTTGAAACTGAGGAGGTTGGTAGGAAGAGGACAGCTAGCACTGCCAATGTTGATGATCCGAACAACTCCGTAGAAATGAAATCAGAGAAAAAGAAGAAGAAGAAGAAGAGGGACAGTGAGGCTGCTGATGTAACGTAAGTACTTTGTAATATATTTTTTCTGGAGTCTCTGATCTATTTCTCGGTTTACACAAATGTGTAATTGAGTCACCAATTTCGTAATTCAATGTAAATAATGCAAAATTTCACAATAGACACAAACTTTATTGTTTCCGTCTAAGTAAAGTTTAGTTAATAAGTACTTTTACTAGATTCCTGCTTCACATTTTTACGTTTACTAACATATAATTTATAATGCCATTTACACATCTTGAACTTAGAAGTAAGAAACTCTGAAAGTTACATTTTTTATTTTACATACAATTGTGAACTTTTATAGACCAATTTTAAACTGTTCACAATATTTTTGAATCCACTCATCAGCCTACTAGTGTCCACTGCTTAACAAAGGTCTCTTCTCACAAGGCTGGAGTATTAATCACCATGCTTGCCCAAGGCAACTTGGGCAAGCATGGTGATTAATACTCCAGCCTTTTGTGATGACTCTCTCTCTCTTTGTGTGATGACAATAAATTATTATGAGTCTGGGTGGCTCGCAAAATACAGGAGAAAACTCCAAATGTACGTCAAATTTTTATGTGAAAAAATAAAATAGAAGACTTACAAAAACCCATATTAATGAGTAATGAGGATAGGAAGAAATGTTTATTTACTGCTTTTTAATATTATTATTGTACCATTGAAATATCATAAAACGAGCACAACTTATTTTTTAGGCTTGCTCCATAAACAAAACACATTGCAAACATAAATAAATACCACATGCTAAACATAATGCTAATGCTGAACATTCGATGATGAACACCCATTGTCTAAATAAAAATAGCTCCGATGGATTTCATAAATGTAACTCCATAATATACATACAATATATATTTTTTTAATTTAAACATTGTCAGGGTAAACATTTTTGACTGCTACTTTAAAAAAGAAAATAGTTTGGTTTTTTTGCTGTCTCACGCAGAGACCGACTTCCATTCCGAAGTGTCAGACTCTGACTGACTAAAAATACGGCTGCTGTCCTGTATCAATCATTGGTCACTGGTTTAAGTAACAATTAAATGATTGTGACTTTTGAGTGTGGCAGATATGTATTAAACTTTTGATAATTTAAGGGAGTTCAACTTAGTACTGCACTAGGTGGTTGGGAAGTGATATGATTTCAAAAAGGAAACAATATTCTTTGTATATTTTTTTCCTTTTCAAATTCTATCATGCAGTTGCTACCTGGCCTCTAACTAAGGTACTTCACAGTTCAAATTGTGGGAGAGCGATGCTTCGGCATAAGGCACAAATGGGTGGGCTCGACAGGTGTCACCTCACAGAAAACCGGCGCGAAAAAATTACAGTTGTGTTTCGCCGTATAAGTGAGGTTACCGGAGGCCCAATTCTTCCCCTCCCCCAATCCCTAAATCCCTTAAATATTAATCTAAAAGGTCGGCAAAGCACTCGTAACTTTTTCGTTTTTGGGCGGCGCTGATTGCTTACCATCAGGTAATCCGTCCGTACGTTAGCCGTCTTATCATATAAAAAAAGTCAAGCAGTGCTGATTAGCGAATTCAGCCTTCGAGTTGTTGCAGTCAATAATTTTAACTTACATTCATCTATATTTGAAATAGCTCTCATAAGCTTTTTTCACTTTTTTACTGCTTCAGAGTAAAGGAATAAAGGTAATATTAGATTAACTACAATACCTATGTCGTTAAATACTAAATGTTGTTTGTGACACACAGCTTTTGCGTTTAATCTTACAATATGACCCAATTACAAGATAATAAAAATAATCTGACAATACAGTTGTATCTCTTCGTAATGCGACTATCCATGGATCTCGACTAAATACGCAAATCAAGTATAATTTAAAGGCTATAGCACTCAGTAAATTTGTAGCTAGCTAACTATCGGATAAATAATTTTGGAAAACCGTCCAGCTATTCCAAACTGACGCCTACTACATACACGCTTTCAAATTTTACCTCTTTATAGGTAACTAGCTACCCCTCGCGGTTTCCCCCGCTGCTCGGCTTCATTTTATCGTAGCGTGATGTTTTATAGCTTAAAGCACTCAGGAACATTGTAGCTATCTATCAGTGAAAGTATTTTGGCTATCCGACCAGCGGTTCCAAAGATTACCCCCTACATACAAACTTACAAATTTTACCTCTTTATAATATTAGTATAGATAGCATCCAGGAACATTGTAGCTATATATCAGTGAAAGTATTTTGGCTATCTGACCAGCGGTTCCAAAGATAACCCCCTACATAAAAACTTACCAATTTTATCTCTTTATAATATTAGTATAGATTATGATCCTTCTACTAAATATCTCTCTTTCTCTAGGCACACAAAAAATGAAGTGGAATTCGAATTTCGTGTTTGATTCTTTCCGATACAGTAATCTTCTTGTGCATTTTTACCTTAGTCAGCAAAAGCTGTGTGTTTCAGTGTTTACAATATTAGATGCACGTAAAATAAATATTTTGCCCGTCTAATATATATTTCTATAATTATAGATATTAATACTTAGTAGTTTTTATTTAAAAGTAATCATTAGATCTACGCAAAACTTCCATATTACTAAATTAAGGCAATCCGCGCGCTTTTCACGTAGGTAGGTAAGCTACTCATGAATATGAGGAGCTACTATCCAAGGAACTTCGTACTTCTAATTGTTTGAGCCCTTATGGTTACCGTATCGTTATAATACAAGTTTTATAAGTTATCATTATCCTATTATGTAGTATTTAGGATACCTACCATTTTCTTAGCACATTTTAAATCATATGTCTCATTTTATTATGTATTTATCTCAAAATGTAATTTCAGCTTATTTAAAAATATATTTTTTGTTTAATCCACAGAATGGAAGATGGTGCCGGCGACGCCACCGTAGAGGCCGAAACAACGACAGAGGTCGACACATCGTTACGCAAAGAAAAGAAAAAAAAGAAAAAGAAGGACCGAGACCAAGAGAAGGCAGATGAATAATTAAAACTGTACTATAATTATTATAGAATTTAAGTTGAGAATATTAAATAAGCTGAAATAGATAGAAATAAGCAATATTCAGTTCGAGTGATAAATCGATTCGATAACAATGTACTTTGCGTGGTTTCGCGCCTTTTTAGTTTGACAGATGTGTGACAGAACGTTATTTTTGCGTGTCGAAACTCCATCGTAGTTTACTGTACCTATGTAACTAAAGAGTCAATTGTAGAATTTTATTTATAAATTGACTCTGATCATGTTTTTATTATATATGTGGTGATACTTTGTATCGGACTATGTATTTGTCTCAATGTTCTAGTAATTAGTGCCTAATAAATATCAATTCTGTCAGAATCATTAAGATTCGTAGATTCCAGTGTTTTTCACGATTGTTATTGTAACACTAAATGTAATCTTTTTTACAATGCCTGTTAATGAATAAAAGTGAACTTAACCTCCCATCTTATATCTAGATTCTAGATAAATAGGTTACGCTAGTTTAATTAATGTCTATGGTCGTTGAATAAAATTGAAGTTTTTGCATATTTTTTAATATTTTAATACGGGTTTTCGTGTTTCAGCCATTAAGATTAGCTCCTTTCCTTTATCTGCTATTAAAAGTTATTTGAAGTTATATATTGTTTTGATTTGGACGCTAGTGCCAAAAGCTGAGGTATAGTACACTGCAGCTTGAAGGTGTGCCTTTTAAAAAAATGTTAATTATTTTCTATGTAGTAATATTAAAATTGTTTGCCTTAAAACTAGATACAAATATTATCAACTCAAGTATATAAGTAGCTTGCATTTATAGCAAATTATATATTTTTACTACATATAAAGATGTCGTATTTTTTCATATTCAAAGAATCGGTGGAAGAGCCATTCTTCTAAGAATGATTTTGACTTCGACGTTGTTTAACCGTACTGACGTTCGAGACGTTGAGGCGACGTCTACAAATTATAGGTTCTATGTAGGTATTGATTTTTAAACAAATGGAAGCTTCGTTTAGGTAGCTACGTGCAAACCATTCGTAATAGAATAATATTCTATGTAGTTAAGTAACGGTACCTATATTATACTTTTTCTATTATCTTAGTACCTACATATCTATCTAGGTAAGTTGTAAACTTGTCCTCGATTGCAGACAAAGATTCGTTTGTATAAGTAGGTGTTTTTACATTAAATTGTTAGGTACGGTGTTGAATAATAGATAGCTGCCTCCTTTTTTTACGAAAAAATCAATTTTTAGCGGTTTGTAATCGATCTTAATCCAATACCTTTTGATACCTACGTAATGTGTTTTGTCAAGAAACTAAAGATCAACACAGAGATTTAGAATTAAGATTGATTATTAATAAGAACATTTATTAGTACGTTTGTAAGTATAGAAAAATAAGTTTTAGAATACGGTAGTTTCCAACTAGTCAAATTCAATACTTTTATCCAAACGTCAAAAACGATAATTTTCTATGAAATTTGTATGAAAAACTGAGCTATGACGTCATAACTTTTTTGCGTCAAATAGCTTACTTATTTCTTAATAATTAGCTAAAAAAATCTAAAAATTAGTGTATTGATCGATCGATGAATAAAAGTATAGTTATTTTTCAATATTTTATTGTATTGTAACGTCGAAATAATTTATTTTTGACCTAGGAAACTACCCAATTGACTAAAAAATGTGTTACTCAAGTCAAATCGCGAATGTTTACATTGTGTAGGTAGCTACAAATATGTTTACGTAGGTACCTACATCGTTGTTCGTTACTTTTTAACATTAAATCTGTGCGCTCTACACTATTGGTTTTATTTATTTATGTAGGTACATTTTTATATACTTACTAGTCGCCGTCGCCGGCCTTTTGTGAGTTATTGGGCATTTTGGGGATTGACGATGTGGGGAAGGCGCCACCGAGGAGGGCACCGCGAAACATCAGCGCTTTTCTAAATAAGGTATCACACTACACACTTGGTGCTGAGCTTAAGTAAGCAAGTGTCTCCAGGGCGTCAGCAGTGCCGGCCACGGAATAGAAAATACAGGTGCCGGCCGTTAGGGGGAGGGGGCGGGGAGTGGGCGTGATGTGGCGAAGGCCCAGGGCGCCGAGGTCTGAAGTTGGAGTCTATTTCCTCTCCTGATGAAAACCCTCAGAACTGTGCTCTACGCTCTGTGCATATGCATATTTTAAAGATGGATTTTTTGAGGATTTGTGGTCTAGGAGTGACTCTAACAATAATACGATCAGCAAAAACTAACACTTGATATTGCTTCCCTCAAGTGGGCACCACATTATTTTCGCTCGGGGTGTCATTGGCCCTTACGTAGAAAATTATTTTCTAGTCTAGATTCGCGAACCAAACAATTTAAATAAACTTCTTAATGAAAGGCTCAAGACTGAATACCTACGGTACTTTCCAACTAGTAAAATTAAATACTTATATCCAAAATGTCAAAAACTATACTTTTCTATGATAAACTATACTAAGAAAGTATGATAAACTGAGTTGTGTCGTCATAATATTTTTGCGTCAAATAGCTTACTTATTTCTTAATAATTAGCTAAAAAATATCTGAAACTTAGTGTATCGATCGATCTATGAATAAAAGTATAGTTAGTTTTCAATATTTTATTATATATTGAAACGTCGAATTTATTTACTTTTGAACTACTATTTCGAATGACAGACGGTATTTAGTGCACTAGAAAAGCACAGCATACTTAACTAGTAGGCTTTTATAACTGTTTTAGAAGGAGGAGAGGGCCAGGCAGGCCAGGACTGGTAGACTTCATTGCTCAAAGCATTGGGCAAACGTCGTATTAATTTATTTTTGACCTAAGAAACTACCCAATTTAGAATTTAGAGTTGGTAAAATTGTAAAGGATAGATAAGGTTTACCAAACTACAAAATCTTTTGTAGTTAACTTACATACTACTTATTACCAACTAATATTATTTCATAATAATATCGTTGTATGCATAACCAAAATAATACACGTTCATACACCTGGCACACACAAATGAATTCGTTCTAAAACCTTTCTTTTATAGCATTGGTAGTTTTTGAACTATCAAGGAGCTGTCAGTGTCAAGAATTGATTAGAAAAAAAATAAACAAAACGTTTGATCAGTGATCACGGTGTTGTTTTCATTGTTTTCATCGTGTATTTGTTAGTAATATAGTATAAATCATGCATTGGGCCCATATTTACCCGGAGAGTGAGTTGTACAACTACGAGTATTTCAGTCAAGACGATGTTTGCCGACTATGCTGGAACAAAAACGCGAGCACAGACATTTATCTGAAAATTTCGGAATACACGGCAGAAATGTGTTTATCCGACATTATAAAGGATTGTTTACAAATAGAAGTAACTAATGATCATTTAAACAAGATCTGTAACGACTGTTTAAGTGAAATAAAGCGATTTCATTACTATAAATTATTTTGTCAAGAGACGAATGCCAAGTTAAAAATCGTGTTCGAAAAACACTCCCTTACGTCCAGAGAAAGCGATCATACGTCTGTAGAAATAAAAATTGAAGATATAGAAGAAAATTACGATAACGAAGGCATAGACACGTATTTAGATGATACTTTAGTTTTCGGAGAAACAGACGCAATGAAACAGCGAAAACCAACCTCTAAAGTTAGAAAAAAGTATTTACACAAACGCTCACCTACTTATTGTAATATTTGCTGCATAGATTTGGGAAGTGAGCAAGATTTGTCTTCACATAATGCTGAATTACATGGTATAGAAAACAATGGAACTCTGTTCAAATGTTTTGGTTGTGAAAAGAGGTTTAAAAGTAGAAAAAGCCGGATAAGTCATGAAGTAAACTTTTGTAAAGGTCTTAAAGATGGATATAAGTGCACTTTATGCGAGAGGTATCTACCAAAGAGGTGCATGTACGAGTTTCATATGCGAGACCATAGACATAACACATTGACTGAGTTGCCAGAACACATATTTAAGTGTAGCAAGTGTTTAAAATTGTTTAAGACTAAAGAATTACTTACGATTCATATGATAGAACACGGGAAAGAGAAGAATTTCGTTTGTGATGTTAGTATAATTTTTAATTTCAAGTTATATAAGTAGTTAATAGCTTTTGTCCATGACTCCATTCGCATGGAGTAGACTTTCTGCTGATTTTTGGTATAAAAAGTATCCTATGTCCTTTCTCGGGTTCCAAACTATGCCTGTACCAAATTTCAAAGAAATCGGTTCAGTAGTTTAGGTGTGAAGAAAAGACAGACAGGCAAAGTTACCTTTGCATTTATAATATTAGTTTGGATTTGAGTTCTTTCCTGCCCATTTTTCTACAAGTCTCTTTTTGGTGCAGACAGAATTAGATTGAACCTTTTTTGTGTAGTACCTTTATGGTTTGGTTACAAATATTAAGGCCCTAAATCTTTCTATCACAATGACTATGTAGCTGCTATGTACCAGATAAACTTGAATATACTATGTAATTTGTATAAACTATATGCCACTTCAGTTTATCAAGAGCTTTTAATTGAGAGTGGTATAGCAGGCCTAAGTATTCCACATATTATATATGACAGTAATGTAAATCTCTACTTATCCATGCAGAGATGCATAACATATTTTTTTGTGGGGTAAATTCCTCAAATGATTTCTGTCATCCTATTTGAAGCAAGATGGAGTGTGAAAACCTTACACCAGACATGCTATAAGTACAAAATTGCACTTACAATCCCAGCTGGACAACAGCCCTGGAGCTTCCCAAATCTGGTAGTTTGTGATGTTGATAGTAGTTTAAGACATACAAATTTATCCAGATAATGTGTTTCTTTTATTATAATACATTTATATAATACTAGCTTCCGCCCGCGGCTTTGCCCCCGTGGTATGTAGCTAAAAAGTAGTAGTAGTCCTATGTTCTATTCCGCAGTGTGTTCTATGCCTGTGCCAAATTTCATCCAGATCCGTCCAGCCGTTTTGGCGTGATTGAGTAACAAACATCCGAACTTCGTAGTAACTTTGACTTTTATAATATTGGTATGATTTTTTCCAGACTTGTGGCCGTGTGTTCACTCGCCAAGATTACTTATATAAACACAAGCTCACCCACACTGGAGTGAAGAGTCACCAATGTCCCCATTGTGATTTTAAAGCGACGCAGAGATCTTCACTCACTGTGCATATCAGGTAATTTTATGAACAAACATTAATATCTGATTTTTTTCTATAGTAACTATCGGGAGACTTGTTACATTTAGTGATAATTAGTCGCCTACCCCTTCTTCCCTTCGTCGCATGGGTCTCCGTGCTTACTAAAGGGTTGCAAATTTTCAATTTTTGTCTCTACTTTAAAATTTTCTTTAATAAGAAACTTTTTCCTATGGATCACAAAGACAAGAAAAAAATAAAATAAAATCGTAAATCTTCCGGGCGAGAAAGAGGGATGGAGTTATAATATAGCTCCATCCCTCTTTCTCGCCCTTTAACACGTCGTGGTAGGCCCTCTGGTAAAATATGACTGAGCTCGCAATGTACCTAACTAAACACTATATATTTCTTTTTTTATATTTTTTTTAATGTTGCTCCACACTAGGGTTTAGTCCTCCTGGATTGTGGGTGCGTTTACAAACATACAATTTCACATATATCACACCCAGACTCATGTGTGGTTCACACAAAGTGTTGTTCCATGCAGTCAAATTATTGTATTACCTATATTTGCATCTTTATATTTATCTTTACATAGTTCAGGTAGACCTAGGAAAAAAGGTTAAAGAGGACATTTTTATTTCAGAAAACACACCGGCGAACGCCCCTACAGTTGTGACATGTGCTCCCTAAGGTGTATCTCCAGCTCAAATCTACGAGCGCATCGCAGACGCCATTTAGGAGTCAAGAAATATGAAGTAAGTTTATTTCTTTTATTGAATTACCTGATGGTAAGCAATCCTCGCCGCCCATGGACACTCGCGACATCGGAGGAGTTACGAGAGATTTAGAGATTGGGAGAGGGGAAGGATTGGGCCTCCGGTAACATCACTGTCAAGGCGAAACACAACGCTGTTGTTGTTTCACGCCGGTTTTATATAAGGCCGTGGTATCACTCCGGTCGAGCCGACCCATTCGTACCGAAACTTGGCTCTCCCACACTTGACAGTGACATGCAGTTCCAGAGATACTACAGCTTTATAATATTGGTTTAGATCTGGTGAAAAGTGAATCTTATATTGAATACTAGCTTTTGTCCGCGATTCCGTTAGCATGGAATAGTGACTCCCTGCAGATTTTCCAAACAATTTGGTCACGTGACTCATAGATTAAAAATCTAGGATTTTATTTACAAAAATAAAAATATTACAATACATTTTAATGTAGATATTGAACAAAATAATTGTTATTGACTTATAAACTTTTTTTTAAAGCAATTCTTTTAATTTTTTGTTAATCTTGTCAAACACCCTATTGGTTCAGTAGTTTAGGGGTAAAGAAAAGACATAGACGGAGTTGCTTTCGCATTTATAATATTAGTATAGTATAGGAGTTTAGATATACATATATAGTATAGATGTGTAAATTAGTACTCTGCATACTTCTAAGCTTGATGTTCAAATACATTGTCAAAATCTTTCGTTATTACGACGACGTTTAATTTCGTCAGCTAGTTTTTAATCTAATTTCTTAGAGATAGAGATCTAATCTAAATCTAATGTGATATTTTGGCCAAGCTACTAACCGATTTCTTTAGCAATCATTTTAGCCCAGTAAATTAATATTTATAAGGAATTGTATTTCTATTTTCAGTGTAGAATATGCAGCAAGAAGTTCGGTTACAAAGTTAGTCTTGAAGAACATATTTCATCAGCTCATGTTCGCTCGGAATCTCATCCCTGTGAGCACTGTGGCGCCACCTACACCAGGCTCAGAGGACTCCGTCGCCATCTAGTGGCCAAACACGGGAAACAAGCCAAGAACAAAACTGTGGAACAAAACCTCTTAGTTCAAGTTACGCAGACAGATGGCGATAAAATTGATATTTTGAAGGAAGTCGAATACGAATTGAAGGATGGAGATAATGTTTTGCTTTTAAAACATCAAGATGGTGATGTTTATATGGTGTAAATAAATAATTTCATGTATTTTGTGAATTAAAACATGAAGACAAAACAGACAATTTTGTTTGATTTATTTAACACCCTCTAGTGGCCAGTAGCGGTACCAAACCTTGCATCAACTCATTAAGCAGCGGTACCATTTTCTAACTCTAGTCATAATGTTTTTTGATAGAATAAATAATACATTACAATACAAAATATAATATTAGTACCTAAGTAATTTTTAATCATTTAACAGTTGTAGATTATGTAATTATTTTATTTTGGTAGAATAGTATTTCTATCGACCAATAGATGGCACCGTAATCTTATTATTTTCAAACATGTTTCTATGTAATTTTCTACACACTTTTACGTACTATGTTTTTATTTTTTTAAGTTTAAAAAATCATATGACTATTGACTAAATACCACCCGTACCAGGCTGGGTCCACGGTACATCATTGCGCTTGACACGCAACCCCGGACTTGTTATAAGTATAGGTAGGTATATGAAAAACAAAAAGGCTCTGTAACAAAATAAGTATGATAAATATTGTTGCAATTAATTTGCAGAATGTTTGAAATGAAAATAATTGTCGGATATAATGACAATGACAGTAATAATTATCATCTTCTCTGTCTTCTGTTCTGCATGTGTAGGACTTCTTCTTAGGATCTTAGTCGTAAGACATCATACTCGGATCCATTTGATCGTAACTTTTTTTTTTATGGTATAGGTGGCATACGAGCAGACGGATCACCTGATGGTAAGCGATCAGCGCCGCCCATGGACACCTGCAACACCAGAGGAGTAACAGGCGCGTTGCCGGCATTTTAAGAAGGAATATGCTCGTTTCTTGAAGGTTTGAAGGTCGTATCGGTTCGGGAATACCGCCGCCGGAAGATCATTCCAAAGCTTTGCTGTGCAGGGCAGAAAGTTTCGGGTGAATCGCACAGTTGTTGACTGCCAACCATCTATGTGATGGATTAAAAAGTAACTTGATGAACTTGACACTCAAAAACATTGTAGCTACACAACACAACCTCCGAATAAAATACTTAATTGATGATTGAAGTAGGAATGGAGTAACCTTACCAAGTATCTAACAGAAGCTTCGTACATCATCATCATCATCATCATCATCACCAGGCTATAAGCACTTACTGCTGAGCAAAGGCCTCTTCTCACATGAAGAAGGTTTAAGCATTAATCATCACGCTTTCTCTCTTGATATTTGTCTCTTTCTCACTCGCGATTGTTGAATCATGCCATCCCACTTTAACGTGTATCATACGATTTATTCATGTGTGCATAAGTGTGCCGTTTTTGAAAATCGAATGTTGTATAAGTTATCTATCTATACCATTTTCCTTATACCTAATATCATTGGCGCCGCCCATGTTTCTATCCCCGCAACATTTGAAGAGTTCTTTTTTTTGTCAAGGGAACTTAGCTCCAGCCCAGGGTAAGGCGAGAGAGAGTGTCAGACTCTTACTGACTAAAACCCCCCTGTTCCTTCTCCTGCTCTGGGCCGACACCACTGTGGTTCATTGCGCTTACCCCGCAACCCCGGCTGAACATCAGGCCCCGTCTGTGGTGGTCTATTGGCTCTTCGAGGCGCGCGCGGAACGCTACGCGCCGTACGCTCGGGTCTGGTTCTGGTCGGGCGGCTTACACTCGCCGTCCGCAGACCCGCGCTTACGGTGGCCGGAGATCGTCTCTCGATTCTCGACGCCCGGCGTGTCTACTGCGGTGGCTGGGGCGTTAGGAGGAGGATAACTCCCTGACGCCGTCTAAGTCCTTTGCGAGCATGACTGCTTCACAGAAAGGAGACGGCTTCCCAGTTCCTCTCGCTTCACTCCCTCAGGAGTGGATTAGGCCATTGTTATCCTTCCTCAATTCCTAAATCTCTAAATATCTAATCCCCAAAAGGTCTGCAACGCACTCGTAACTGCTCTGTTGTTGCGAGTGACCATGGCTGTGCTGATTGCTTACCATCAGGTACCTAATTCGTCTTCTCGTTTGCCCAACGTGAAACAAAACAAAAATAACTCTAGAAGAGTTACAAGTGCGCTACCAACCTTTTGGGAAGAGATGGGGGAAGGAGAAGGATTTGGTCTCCATTAACCTCATTCGAACGGCAAAATACAACAGTGTGATTGTTTCACGCCGGTTTTGTGTGAGGCCGTGGCAATGATATTATAAGTAAAATGGTGTAGATAGGTTACCTAAACAAAATTCGATTTTCAAAAACGACACACTGATACACACATGAACAATTCGTATGTTTAAACGTCAAAGTGAGATGGCATGATTCAATAATCGCGAGTAAGAAAGAGACAAATATGAAAAAGTGTGGCTAGTTAGCCACACTTTTAATGTATCACTTGCTGAGCGCTTGTAACCTAGCTACACATTTTTACTTATAATATCATTGGGCCATGGTATGACTCCTGTCGAGCCGACCCATTCATGCCGAAGCATGGCTCTGCCAAACTTTCATATTATTAAATTGAAATAAAACAAGAAGTTCTTGAGACTTTATTGTTATTTTTTATTTATTTAATTTAATTCATCAGTTACAATAAATGTTCGGAACAAAAATAAAAATTCTCTATTAATTTTATAATATTATTAATAAAACGATAGTTTCTCACGATTTCTAACTTACGTGCTAGCATGCATTCATTTGCTACATCATACAATATTTATTTACATTTAAAAATACATTGGACAAATCCGGGCTATTTGAGGAAGAAATGAAAAACAAAACGAATTAAAAAAAAATTATGTCACAAAATGTCACACTATAAGTTTTGGCGCCAACACAAAAAGGTTTATTGATTGCCAGTCTCGACAACGATAACTATAGAAATCGGTTGTTAAGTTTCCTAACTATTTAATTTCGATATTAGACTTTCAATTTTAATTTTAAAAGAATAACACTGAAAATGTATCGAGTAAATTAATTTTGAGATTTAATTTTGTCTATGTCTGGACTACCGACCATGCGTAAGGTTTACATTAACAAAAAAAAAAAAAAAATATATGAAAAATAATTTCGTAGGTAATTTTTTTTTCTAAAAAGCAAATTGTAACATCTAAAATCAAGGTCTGAATTCATGTGAGGTTGAATTTATTCATCAAATTTATCATAAGTTGATGAAATTAAGTAGTCCGGAACTCCGGAGTCAAGATAAATAATGTTTTATTTTATTAAAAAAATAAACAGTAAGTATTTATGGCCTAAAAAATGAAAAAAAACGACTGTTTCCTTTATTCGAATTTTAAAAATACACAAGACGTTGTTCAACTTTTACAGTTATTTTTAAATACATTTAAAAATAATGGATATACGAAAAAAAAAAATTAGGTGTTCATTTTCTTAGATTTGGCACGTTCTAAATATCATAAAAAATAGTTCCTATTACTTGTTGTTTTGGCACTAAGTAAGTTACGGTAAGGTCTAAAGAGATTTATTTCAAAAAAACTATTTTAGGACCGATTCTTTTATACATTATTTTATTATCATCTAAATTACTTTCAAGTTTCTATGACTCCATGAGCCCATTTCATTAGGAATCTATAGTCGTATGATCAAGTTGAGTTCCCATGGCAACGAAGAGTTATTTTTATAGCTTCCTAGCTTTTGCCCGCGACTCCGTTCGCGTGGAATAGTGACTTCCTGCAGATTTTTGGTATAAAAACTATCCTATGTCCTTTCTCGAGTTCCAAACTATGTCTGTACCAAATTTTACAGAAATCAGTTCAGGATAGACAGACAGAGTTACTTTCGCATTATAATATCAGTTTGGATTTGGATTGTGGTAAACTGACTATAGCGCATGGAGTTTCCTGCTCGTTTTTCTCCATTCGGAACTACAATTTGGAACGAGCACCTAGCTTCACTGACGAACAGACTGACAGACTACTATTCTATTATGACGTTTCAAAAGTAACTATTTATGGTTTATGTTGGAATAAATAATTTTGATTTGATTTGATTTGATATAATAATAAAAGATGGCAAGATGTCCGAAGCATGGCTGTCCCAGAATTAGGATGTGTTTTAATATGCAGTAGGTATGCCGTATGACAGCTGTATTTTTCCACACTGGCAATCTGTAAGTATGACAGACAGGTCACGTAACTACAGCGTCCTAACAAAATGGCGCCCATAAAATTTTGTAGTAGACATTTTAATTCTAAATATTTCATATTTCTTGTGTAATATCTTCTGTTCTAATCGAGACAAAATGATTTTGTGCTGAACATCAAGAAATCTAAGTTTCCTTATAATAATTATTGCTCTCTAAGTTATAGATACTACAACATTCATGACATCTAGATGTGAGAATCACAAAAACTTATTTGACTAAACATTCAATATTGTCAAATAGAGGAACTTTGCACGCTTACTTAAAACTAACCACTGAAAACTTAATATTTATTACAAATTTTAAATGTAATTGAAACATGATAATGCGGTAGATTCTCCCCATTTAAAGGGAGATTTTTTTAATTGGTAACATTATTATAAGCACTTAAGAAAAATCGATGACGCTCGCTCATGCCATGTAATAAAAGTGGAAATTAGTAGTTTTTTTTCAAATTAACTCAACACACTCCATCTAAACGTAATATATGGTAGAATGATTGGTTTATTTTTCACTTTATATCGAGAGAGTCTCTGTAAACTAAGAAACAAACCAAATAGACAGACAAATGAAGTCAATGACAGTTGTCATGAAAAAAAAAATACAAAAAAAAAACATATATCAGTAAAGTTAAAATAGGTACTAAAGTTTTCAGCGGTGTAATAATTTAAATACATAGTACATTATTTTTTATTTTAATTTTATTTATAAACTCGTTAAACTTTTTACAGTAAGTTGGTTTTTATTTATTGAATTAAGATGGATAGGTATTGAAACTTTTAGAACTATATTTTTTGTCATTTGCATCATCCTCAGAAACTAGGGTCGATATTCCGTATCGCAGTTGGGCCTGGATCAGGAGAAGGAACACGATGGTTTTTAGTCAGTAAGAGTCTGACTGTAGCTTCCTCAACGCTATGGACGCTATGTCAAATTTTCACTACTATTATACTGTGCCAAAAAGCAACGCAACCAAGTGCCCAGTGGTTTGCTTAATGCCTTTCCCTCCACAAAAATAACATCCAAAGAGTGACGAACCATTCAAAAGGTCGGAAAAGGATTTGCTTTTAATATCTATAATATAATTGCTTTTAATATCTTTTAATATCTGTTTAATATCTAGACAAAAAAATATATATAGTTCTAAAGGTTTCTTCTTAGTTTAATACATACAAATCTAGAACCGGGTTTTCAGTTAATGATCTAATATCTTTTAGTTCCTACATCTAAGTAAGTAAATACTACACTATTTATAATAAATACAAGTTGTCTACGTGTTTTATATTTTTTAATAAATAAGACCAGAATGTAGGACAAGTATTCTTTTAAACGTTTATTATTTTAAGGGCAGATTTTTTAATAGTCTGATAAATGTTGTCTAATAAAATTGTTCTATCTTATACAAACATTTTGACGCGACAGCATCATAATTATTCCACAGATAACTTTTATCTAACCATTGAAAAATCAGCCCTAAATCTATTATTTTAAAATCGGAAGGTTTGTGGAAATCTGTTTGAAGAAGTGAAGAGATTGTAAGTATTTTATTAAAATTCTACCTTTTGATTATTTACTTTCCTTTTTTTGTGTGTTACGGTAAATGTTTTTTTTTTCGATATTTTTTTTTCATTTGTTCAAAAATTACTTTAAATATTCACAATGTTATTTTACAAACGACAATGTTTTGTCAACTTGATAGAACTTAAGGCAAATTTTGACCTGATTTATGAACTCATAATATATAAATATACATATATAAGTACACAATGTATGGTTGGATTTGCTTTAATCATATCTAATAGATTCGTGGTAGTTTCAACCACAGTAAGTACTACATAAAAGTTATGTAAGATAACGGACAAACTCGGGAATACGCTGAGCTTAAAAATAAAAACAAAAGAAGTCGGTTAAAAAGAATTCGAAACTGGTTTTTGATGATTAACAATTGATATAAATTACTAATTAAATAGGTCGGCTAGCGAGCATAGGGATTACTTGATGTTAAGCAATCGGCCTTTTGGGTTTCGGATATTTAAAATTGGGATAGGGATAGGAGAAGGGAAGGATTGGGCCTTCGATAACCTTACTCATAAGGCGAAACACAACGCTGTGGTTATTCCACGCCAGTTTTCTGTGAGCGGTATTTTCTAAATATATATTTTACTAGTTATATGTAATAGAGGATGAGTTTATTCGAATACTTTGTATACAATGCAGCTCCCTACATAAATTTTCAAAAACCAGTTTCGAGACACTCCTGTAACTATGTCTGTAAGCAAGTTATATAAAAATCTGTAACCCGTATCTGCAATAAAATAATATTTTCTACAAGAAACATAAACCCTCTGTAGTAACAATAAAAAAATACAATGTTACTCGTACAATCACAGTAATATAAATAATATAATTAAGATATTCTGCATTGCAACACAGAATAGTATTGCCGCATTTATTTACATTTACCCCGAACAGGGTAATCTTATTATAATCTGGTAACACTGGCTTTATTGCGGCAACACTGAGTTAACTGTCACTGTCAACGCAGTAGGCAAAGGTACGACCATATACAGCCAGGCAAAGGCTCGATTTTTATACAGTCTAGTAGGGAAGGTTGTCTCTTAAGAAGGCTTGTTTGGTATATCCTCTTCGGAGGCATTTGCCCCACCATGACCTCTGCGTACACATTTTCACAGGCTTTAGAATAAAGCATTTGGTTTGGACGACATTGAAGAAGAGTTTTCCCACCATATTCGACACAGATGTGTCAGCCAGTTTGAGACACGCACGGAACCTGGAAATATAGAAGAAAATATTAGAAATCAAATTGAAATAATATTATAACAGGAAAGCTTTGTTTGAATCTTTAGATTTTCTTTAAGTATTTTCGATTTTTGATATGTTGATTAGATGTTGTTGACGGTAACAATTTGTCAACATTTTGTAATAGGTAGGTTTTCATTTTCGTCACTGTAATGTAGAGTTTAAATTCTTCTAGACTAGCGTTTATGCTGTCATTGTAATTCCTTTTTAAGGCTTTATGATGTATAGACTTATATGTTTAGTCTAGACCTATGCTATGTAAACTGAACAGCTGAGTTTATTGAGATTGGTTTTTGATTTCTACATTGCATTAAGTTTTTTTCGAAACGCAGTTTGCAGTAGGAGTGATGCTTTGGGCCAGTATTCTCGATATTGATAACGATCAAATAGTGTATTGAAGTCGCTTTTTTTTTCTATAGATTCTTCAACATTATGGTTTTGGGTATAATATTCAAAAACTATTTACTTATAAATTTAACAACCAATTAATTTTTGTCATCTTAGGCTGGAGTTCGTGAGTGGCGTGTGTATATGTTTCAATCTTGGTGTTTTTTTTTGTCATGGGTAATCATCAAATGACCTTCCCCGCCCAGGGTACCTAAAGCGAGAGAGAGTGTCAGATGTTTACTGACTAAAACCCCCCCCCCGTTCCTTTTCCTGCTCTGGGCCGAGGAAGCGGTGACTCTTTGCCCTTAGCCCGCAACCCCGGCTGAACAACAGCCTCATGAGGCCATCATGAGGACACCATCATGAGGCGCGCGCGGAACGCTTCGAGTCTAATATTTTCAAAGTGTTGTCATTCCTACACAATTCCATTGTCATTTTGCTAAAAGTTCGTAATCTGTTAATTCAAAATGACTGATCATTGGCGTTCGGCGATGTCGTAATATAATTATAGTACAGTAATATTCTAAACGTAAATCATTGAATAAAGGAACTGAGATTTTTTTATTAATTTACCGCATAATGTCAAATATTCATTTATCATCATGTACGAGATTACCGTTCTAAACAATTATTTCATTGAAGTGGCATTGGAAAGTCTTAATGACGCTATCGTGTTAGTAGATTACCATACTTGTCAAAATCAACAATTTTGCAACCAATGATCTACTATTCTGACACTATTGTAATAGCAGACTCGAGGCCCTGGTCGGGCGGCAAGCTACCCTTACTCGCCGTCCGCAGACCCGCGCTTACGGTGGCCGGAGATCGTCTCTCGTTCGTCTTGGTGTGGTGTGTACAATATTATGTGTAAAACTCATCTTTATATTCTAAACAAAAATTATAATATTTACACTTTTTTTACTACTATCAGATATAGTCATGCAAAATCTATATCTATACTAATATTATAAAGAGGTAAAATTCGTAAGTTTGTATGTAGGGGGTAATCTTTGGAACCGCTGGTCGGATTGCCAAAATTCTTTCACTGATTGATAGCTACAATGTTCCTGAGTGACATGGGCTATAAAACATCACGCTACGATCAAATGGACCCGAGCAGAGGGTGAAACCGCGCGAGAGTAGCTAGTCTACCATAAACATAAAGAAAGCGTATGCTATGATAATTTTGCCTAAGTCAACTTCATAAAAACAACACATCAAGATACTCTAACATGTCCAATATGATTTTAACTTTATCATCTTGAATTAAAGTCGAAAATTCATTGCAGAAACAGCTTAAGTTTATCAACATTCGTATGAAATCAAGATGGCGTGCTTTTATGCATTCGCGCCAATTTATGACGTTGACCGTCATAAAGTGACAGTTTGACAAATGTGCTATTATATTTTAATGCTTATAAATCACAGTATTAAAAGGAATAAAAGTAAGTATCCGATGGATCCGTTTATGATAAATTTTATTTCAAGTAGGTTTATCTTAGAATTTTTTATTGCAAGTTTATTTTAATTCCTCCAACGGGAGGTTCCATTTTATTCACCAGATGGCACCACTGTGGATATCGTCCGATATAAAATGTCACAAAATTGAACGAAAAATCTAACCAGTGTGATTCTGTAAGACTTCATTCTAAACTCTGAATCCGCCGTGAGTAGTAGTACACTAGCGCTACACTTGCGAGTTGAACTAAATTGACAGCAAAATTTTGAAAGATAAAGTATGAGATGACGTTAAAAGTGGCATTCTAAAATTTAATTTCCCCGTCACTTTGACGCTCACTTCGCACTCGAACACGATTCAAAATCTAACAAATTTTATAGATCGACGTGCAGCTATGCCTTAGTAATTGGATAAACTGATCTCCTGAAAAATCTTCATATTAGACCTATTTCTGACCCGCATACATTTACTATCGAAGCCTTTGCACGGATCCAATGATGATACAAAATTTCGTACTATTTTTGATGTTATTTTAAATGTAAACCTTCCTCTTCAATCACTCTATTTATTTAAAAAATAGCATCGAAATCCGTTGCGTAGTTTTAAAGATTTAAGCAAACATAGGGATATAGGAACAGAGAAAGCGACTTTGTTTTATACTATTTTTAATTGAAGGTGAGGCATGCTTTGACAGGAATAGGTCGGCGCGACCGGAATGATACCACGGCCTCACAGAAAACCGGCGCGAAACTACCAAAGCGTTGTGTTTCACCGAGTAAATGACCAAATGCCTAATCCTTCCCCCCCCCCCCCCAATCCCAAAATCTCCAAATTCCTTATCCCCATAAGGTTGGCAACGCCCTCGTAATGCCTTCGTTGTTACGCCATAGGCGGTGCTGATTGCTTACCATCAGGTAATCCGTCTGTTCGCTTGCTGTTCCATAAAAGACTATGTCGGTAGTGATAGTCCACTAACCGTCGCTTTTAACATCCACGGAAAAATAAGGATAGGGAAAAATAAATTTAAAATCTGCCGTTACCATATTAAGTCAAAAATGTCTTTTGCATCTGTGGCTATGGGCATATGAAATAAGTTATAATCTGTACCATAAAACACATACTTAACATCGCCGCCGTAATTTTGACATTTCGACCGCAAAAGTTAAGCGTTCAAATCTAACATTTTTAGTATCGGTTTAGATCTTTACTAATATTATAAATGCGAAAGTAACTCTGTCTGACTGTCTGTCTTTTCTTCACGTCTAAACTACTGAAACTACTGAACCGATTTCTGTGAAATTTGGTACCAACATAGTTTGGAACTCGAGAAAGGACCAAAAATTGGAATAAAAAATTTAAGTGTGGGAGAGCCATGCTTCGGCACGAATGGGTCGGCTCGACCGGAGTGATGCCACGGCCTCACAGAAAACCGGCGTGAAACAACCACAGCGTTGTGTTTCGCCGTGTGAGTGAGGTTACCGGAGGCCCAATCCTTCCCCTTCCCGGACCCTTCCCCAATCCCTAAACCTCCTAATCCCTAATCCCTAAAAGGTCGGCAACGCACTCGTAACTCCTCCGTTGCGGGTGTCCATGGGCGGCGCTGATTGCTTACCATCAGGTAATCCGTCCACTCGTTTGCCGAATAATTACATAAAAAAAACTGCAGGATGTCACTATTCCACACGAACGGAGTCGCGGCCGACAGCTCTATTTAATTCATTTCAAAGACGGACATTGGTATAAAGGTTGTCTTAAATTTTATTAAAATAACGCCATCTAGCGAGCCTCCCTTACTATTAAAACGTATCTTTTATTGTCTAACAGTCAGCGCCATGCATTTTATTGCATGCCTTACGGTCGGGTCGTAATCGAGTGGTCGATCATGGCGATTATTATAGCGGGGTTTGGTTTATACCCTACTAGCTTCCGAACGCGGCTTCGCATGTATATAAAAGTAATGTAGATGTTTCAGCGACAGCTCTTTTTTAGGTTGGCAAACGAAAAGACGGATTACCCAAAGATGAGCAATCAGCGCCGCCCATGGACACCCACAACGGAGGGGTTAAGAACTTAAGAGAGCGTTGCCGACCTTTTAGGGATTAGGGTTTTGGAGATTTAGGGATTAAGGAGGGATTGGGGGAGGGGAAGGATTGGGTAACCTCATTCACACGGCGAAACACAACGCTATGGTTGTTTCACGCCGGTTTTCCGTGAGGCCGTGGTATCACTCCGGTCGAGCCGACCCCTTGGTGACAAAGCTTGGCTCTTCCAAACGTAAGGAAGGTAGAGTTTTTCGAGGTAAGTGTTTGTATGCAAGCATAATTTATAATAGACCGAATTTAAAACTCCTGCATAATATGCAGTTTTCTTTTCATATAAAAAAAAACAACTCTCAACTGAGCTCAATAAAAAAAAAACAGCCAATTGTATGCTTAAAACAACCAAAACTCAAAAATCAATACCATTAATCAAAAATTTTGACTTACGATCAACCAAAACATTTAGAATTTACAAATCTGTCATCGAAATACGAAAAAAAGGCGGGAAACAAATGGCGGGAGACGCCATTACGTCCAGCGCTGAGCTGTCATAGACACACGTTCGGTTACCACAACGAGTGGTACTTATCGGTGCATTCCGTAATATATTCGATAAAGTGCCGCCTATGCCAAGAACAAGGAGTTTAAGTTTTACTTACTGCACGTAAGATAAGTTAGGATTTTGAAGATTTTTTCGCTTTTAAAATGTTCGGCATTGTGAAAATGGTCCTTGTTATCTATATTAATATTATAAAGTGTTTTTTTTTTTGTGAGGGGAAAATCATCAAATGACTTGTCCCGCCCAGGGCCGAGCGGGAGGGAGTGTCAGACTCTTACTGACTAAAAAACCCCCTGTTCCTTCTCCTGCTCTGGGCCGAGGTCGCGGTGCGTCATTGCGCTTACCCCGCAACCCCGGCTGAACATCAGCCCTATAAGGCCCCGTCTTTTTTTTTTTTTTTTTTTTTTTGTGAGGGGAAAATCATCAAATGACTTCTCCCGCCCAGGGCCGGGCAGGAGGGAGTGTCAGACTCTTACTGACTAAAAACCCCCCTGTTCCTTCTCCTGCTCTGTGCCGAGGTCGCGGTACCTTATTGCGCTTACCCCGCAACCCCGGCTGAACATCAGCCCTTTAGGGCCCCGTCTGTGGTGGTCTATTGGCTCTTTGAGGCGCGCGCGGAACGCTACGCGCCGTACGCTCGGGCCTGGTTCTGGTCGGGCGGCGAGCTGCCCTTACTCGCCGACGGCAGGCCCGTACTTACGGTGGCCGGAGATCGTCCCTCGATCCCCGACGCCCGTAGTGTCGCCAGTTGCGGCTGCTGGGGCGTGAGGAGGAGGATTGCTCCCTCACGCGGGCCGCCTCTCTCTTTGCGAGCATGACTGCTTCACAAAAGGAGGAGATGGCGTCCCAGTTCCTCTCACTCCGCACCATGGCCTCGACTAAGGCCGGGCGCGAGAGGTCGCCGCCGCCGATCACTTCCCTGAGGATACGGCGGTGCTCAGCCCAGGCAGGGCATACCGCTACCGTATGCTCCACCGTATCCTCTAGGTGGTCCTCACAATGACGACACTCGGGCGTTTCCTCCCGCTGAATCCGAAACAGGAACCTACCGAAGCTGCCGTGCCCGGTAAGCACCTGCGTCAGACGGAAGGTGAGGACGCCGTGGCGTCTCTCAAGCCACTCCTCAAAGAGGGGTCTTACCGCTGCTATGGTAGCGTGCCCGGCCCTCGGTTGCGACAGTCGTTGTCTCCACTCTGCCATGAGATCTCGCCGGAGCTCATTCCGCCACGCACTTATTTGGCGCGGCAAAGGATCTTCGCCCCGGCTACGCGCGTCTGCGCGCAAACTGTAGACGCGCGCGAGCGCCTTCGCTTCTAGATCCCACGGCGGTGATCCGGCAAGGAGGTTCGCCGCCTCCCCGGAGATCGTGCGATACCCGCGGATTACTCGTATAGCCATGACCCTCTGGGACGCGACCAGCGTACGAGCCGGCCGCCGCTTCAAGTCCGGCGCCCACACAGGGGCACCGTAGAGGGCCATGGATCGCACAATCCCCATATACAACCTCCGATAAGGCCCCGTCTGTGGTCGTCTATTGGCTCTTTGAGGTGCGCGTGGAACGCTACACGCCGTACTCTCGGGTCTGGTTCTGGTCGGGCGGCGAGCTGCCCTTACTCGCCGACCGCAGATAATATTATAAAGTGTAAGTTTGTTTGTAGGGGGCAATCTTTGGAAGCGCTAGTCGGATTGCCAAAATGCTTTCACTGATAGATAGCTGCAATGTTCCTGAGTGATATAGGCTATAAAACATCACGCTACAATTAAATGGAGCAGCAGGTGAAACCGCGCAAGAGTAGCTAGTTACTTACATTACGTGTTACTTCAAGATTAGGATTGTTAATTCTATAGTGATGTATAGTGGAGGCACTAGTCTTAAAAATAGACTTTTTTTTAAAACAATTGGGTCATTATATCTATGTTTTGCACACACATACGCACTCAAAAAAGTTAAGAATAAAAATAATGATCGAGGCTTTTAAACAATGCCAAAAGAACATGTTTTTAAGTAATATTTTTTCAAAAATCATAATCTACCTCTTTTTTAAGGGGTGGATCCTTACATTTATTTTTCTTAAAAAATACTCTTGTAATTTGTATGTTAAAATGTTACCAAGACATAAAGACCTCGTAGAGATGATCCTTACTTAACTTGAGAAGTTCTTAATCTTTGTTTTTCAAAACTATTAAACTTTCGCGTATTTTTTTAGGCACGCATTTGTGTTTTCTTAGGTGGAAATCTTCGCAATGTCCATTCGGTTGCCCTTTAAAAGCACTAAGGAATTAGAAAGGGACTGTTTTTATTTTTTAATCAGACTTTTGCTTCTTTTTGGATAAGTGGCTTGTGTTTTTTATGGGTTAGAATCCCCTGACAGTATGCAATTGGCGTCGCCCATTGACATTCGCAACGTTAAAAGAGTTACACATGGTACAACCATTATCAGGCTACTCCAGAGGAATTAAGAGGGAAGGGGAAGGATTGGACTTCCGGTAACCTCTCTTACACGGCGAAGCGAAACGTAAGCGTTGTTTCACGCCAGTTTCCTGTTTAGTTGTTATGTATTTAGTCCTACACTCAACGCGGACAGAAGAATTAGAAGTTAAGACAGTTGCGGTCTTGCGGAAGATTACTTATGATAAATGAATTCATTTTTGCTTAGCTATGGCTTAAAGATGTGAACTTTTACCGACACATCCATATGTCCATTAAAACATAAACATTATTCAAGCTTTGTCACTACGTAATACCACTGAGTTAATGTCAAATTGTAATACATATAGAGGTTATGAAGGGCTGACAGGTGACAGAGCAGCGGCCATTTGCAATTGACGACATTTTAAATATTATGCAGTTGTGTACAGAGTAATGAAGGGACAGAGAGCGCATTACACAAAAATACTAGGTATGGCATAATGCAAGTTTTGACACGAATGGGTCGGCTCGACTGGAGTGATACCACGGTTTCACAGAAATCCAGCGTCAAACGCTTGCGTTTTGTTTCGCCAGGTGAGTGAGGTTACCGGATTCCCAATCTTTCTTCCCATATTCCAATCCTTAAATCTTTAAAAACTCATCTTAAATTGCGTGTGACAGTCGACTCGAGAGCCGAATGCTGGTAATGTCGATTATGGAGGTGACGAAGACGGCGTGCTTCTATAAAATTTATCATCAAAGTATGTAAGTAGTAAGTAGAAATTTAGGTGTTATCAAAATTTGTTATCCAGCTTATTCATCTAATCTGATTTAGTAATGTTACTTTTCATTATAAATATTACAAAGAAATATCTACATAATATAAGAAATAAACGAATAACGTCATAATTGTAAGCGATAATTAGTGTCGTACTAACTTTAAAACTCCCGCGTTTCATTTACGTGAAAAGTGATTTTTTAAATATTTTGGAAGGCTTGACGTAAATGTAGTGTCATTCTATATTTAACTAATATAAAAATGGCAATGCTATCCGACTAATATATCTACATACAACAATTCCAAAAAAAGGTATTATTCAAAACTACATATCCCTTTCAAAACAAGCCGTATTTTCCAAAATTTCCACACGAACGAACGAAGCCGGGGCGCTAATAAAACTACGTATAACACAGTCCCGTTGTATCAAACATCGGATTAGTGAAAGCTGACAAAGAAACCATTCTTTAACGAGCTCTTTCCCCCTCGATATTGTAGCTTTACGGCACTTAATCGTTTATGGGGTGGACAAGAATCCGGCACGGAGCTCTCCGTTCCATAGTTTTTAGTGTATTAAAAATCTGTTGTTGCGTTTGTTTTTATTTATGCCTTCATTTGGTAAATGGTTGTCCATTTCACGTCAGTGTCAGCGTTTAATAAGCGATGGCTTTCTGTGTTGACTAAAGATTGTTTTGAAATAGGTAATTGGTTTTTGGCAATTTCTGTGTGTCTATTACTGCATGTCGCAAATAAAAACCTTTTATAATTATTCTATTCAGTCAAATCCAAACTAATATCTGTCTGTCTGTCTGTCTTATCTTCACGCCTAAACTACTGAACCGATTTCTGTGAAATTTGGTACAGACATAGTTTGAAACTCGAGAAAGGATATAGGATCGTTTTTAATCTGCAAGAAGTCCCTATTTCACGCGAACGAAGTCGCGGTCAATAGCTGGTTTGTAATAATTATAATAGTCATATTTGTCTTCATCATTTATTTATTTATTCAGCACTCAACTATTAAAATCTCTGTTTTTACGCTACTCTGTGTCCATACCTCGCGTGAGCTTTGCCGCGTTTTCTCTCGCTTCATTTGCTAAAGTTCTGGTCAAGCTGCTGACCGTTAGTGCCGTGACCGTCACGATGTTTTTAATATCGATAATTTGTTTTCGATAGTCTTATTTTTTCCAAACTGAGCAATTGATCGATTTAGGTCTGTTTATTCACGTGAGCAGTCTTTATTTTAAATATATTTAGAATGTGTCTCAATGGTTAACACATATTTAATGAAATGAAATAATTATAGCTTTAAGGTTTTGCCGCGTTGTCATCAACGTAAGTAGGTACCTATATAAATTACGAGTAGTTTATCAAATGCCTGATTTTTTATTTATTAGTTCATCAAATGTTGACTTTAGCTAAACTTTTCTGGTCTCTCCTACCTATAACATTATATAAATAAATTCATGTTTCTCCTTTATATGTCTGTCCTTGTCTCTCTTTGTGTACAATCCCGTCTTTCGTATATCACAGTTGTGTGGTATACATGTGTTAATATATATGTTATGTATTGGTTTTTATATTTGAATAAATATTAGTGTTACACTGTTCTCACATAATTGAACCAACTGTTTGTAAAAGGAATCTGTATGTGAAACTGATTTAAAAAGAGTAACCATTGAGTTTCTTGCTCGTTCTTCTCCATCGGAATCTACACTTTGGAACGAGCAAATAGCTTCACTAAGAGGACCGACCGACAGACTGACACTATATCTTCAAAATTTTGTTTGACGTTCAAAAGTCGTAAAGGTCTAATTGGAATAAATGATTTTTTTGACTTTGATTTTGGTATGTTAACCTTCGCCGCTTTTCCAACCTTAACTTCAAACTTCAATTACATGAATTATTTTTTTATTCCGTCTTTCTTTCTTTTCTACTTTACTATTCGACACAATGTACAACAACCTACAAAAATACTAAATGAATAAACTATAAAATATCGTCCAGACTACTATAAAACTATCGACATTTCCCCACCACTAAACCGCAGTAAGCCATAAGTGCCTTAGTTAAATACAAACGCCGTCAAACACCGAATCAATGTTCGACTTAAGAACAAAAGGATTTGCGACTTTCCTTGACCGCCCGAAAAGAATTAGAGGAAAAAAAATAACAAAGACTGCTAGTCTATGGTCGTTAGTGTTGCCAGTATTGGTCGGTCAGCAAATGATCGGTTTTAGGGGTCTGCGGTAAAAGGGTATTAGGACCCTTTCTTAAGCTTGGGTTTTGGATGTTTAAAAGGACCTTCCAATGTTTTTTGGAGAGGGTTAGTAAACATAGCTTAGTCATAAGCTTACGGTTGGCGCAGTGGCTACGTGAATAGCTGCAATGCAACGTATTGCAAGTTCTAATCATTTTAATTTGAAAGTTTGTGAGGATTAATGGATGTACCTAT